GCCACTTGTTCTGTTTGTTCTACCTTCTTTTTGGTCCCAGTGTTTTGAAAGCTAATAATTACTATAAAAACTGCATGCTGTAGGTCACAGTCACATCTACACGTCCCATATTTCATAGTACTGTGAAATTCAGTGATCAAATATACATATTTACAATTATTATCCTAGTTGCATGCAAAAAGCACATATTCTAAATGCATTGACAAAATCACAGGTATGCAAAACTGAACAGATGAAGGCATAGCAGAGCTCTTGCCAGGGAAAGACACTGACCTGTGTGTCAAACTGACTGCCACACAGGCTTTATTTCCAAAAGATGCTTAAAGGAGTTGGGTACCCACTTGGTGGAAATTGTTTTAAAAGGCTCTGCCACGGTGCCTGAAAAGGCTGGGAGGAGAGCAAAAAGAAAATAGTTATGTCTCCAGTGTACTTTGTTCAAAATTAATTTTGCTCTTTCCTTTCTCTAGGAAATTTGTTTCCATTGTTTGGAATTTGTTTGGGTGGTTGTTGGGTTCTCCCTTCCCAAAGGGAAAGGCAGGAAAAGAAATACACTAAAAAATGAGAAAAACATCAATTGTTTTGTGAGGGTTTTTTCTTTAGAAAAACCTAAGAAACCCATACACGCCCTGGGCAGAGAGCCTGAAATCAGGTGTTCACATCTAGGGCTACACTTTACTCTGTTTTAATTGCCTGCACTTGACTGTATCTCTTTAAGAAAACAGGAACAAATCCAGGAACCTTTGTGTTGTTTATTCAGCAGGGGATTAGCCCAGCTTGATAGCCCTGAGCTAACCCCTGCTGCAGGATCGATGGATGACTTCATCATGGGATATGCCAGTAGGATACAGAGGTATATCCCAGAAACAGGACAGCTGCAAGGGGCTTCATCTTTCTGAAGAGCAACTTAAAGAGGAGCTCTGCTGTGATTAACCAAAGCTCCTCAAAGGGGAATTTACCATATCAACTTCTTGATCTAAAAAAAATTTCCATGGGGAAACTGTTTGATGCAGACTCTCTGCTCCTATCTCCAAGCAACTTGAGAGTGGTAACACCTCTCTTTTTCCATTTTGAGAGGTGAACAAATAAACTTCTTAAAACTGCACTCAGTTATGCTTCCTGATTCAACGGCACAACAGAAAAGTACCAATGTGTGCCCAGAACTACCAATATGAGAAGTCTGCAACACAGACAGGTAATTACAACATACCAAAACAATGCTCTTCACCCAGAAATTGCCACAATTCCTCCATCACAGCCTCATGCCGCTCCCCAGCTATGCCCATCTCAGTGGCACTTTGCAGCTCTCTCACACTGGCACAGAATGGGCACTGCAAACACTGAGGGTGCGTGTTTGCACTGGAACCTCTCCTACTAATTGGGGTTTTGGCTTTGCTGGGTTGTTTTTCTTGGGGAATGTAGAGAGAAAGCATCAGTTTTTCCTCTAATAATGTTTGGGCCAAGAGTTAATTCTCAGCAATTAAAAACAAAATCCAAACCACATTTTTTCCATAAACAGCTAATGGTCTTGGATCTGTCAATATAACTAGCACATAGCTGATTTTTCAGAAAATAAAAAGCATGCCTGCAATAAGACATGACAAATAGCAACAGCTAGTTTAGAAACAACTTATTTTCACAAATTCCTTCACTTTATAAAGGCTTATAGGTTTCCTGAAACATTTTTTAAAGAGACAGAACATTACACAATGTATAGTGCAACATAAGGATTTGTCTTCTATACCGCAGCAGCAGAGTAATGGAAAGAACAGCAAGATTGGACCCTCTGGGTTCAAGAAGAAGAATTAATTGTATTTTATAGGCTAGAGATCACGCTGCACATCACAGAGGACATGCTTAGCCAGCAGGAAGCGAACATCTTTCACTTAGTGAAGGAGAAAAGGCTCTGACCAGTATCATTTCCCACTGATGCCACCACTGTTCATGTTGTACCACAAATGTGCAGTTGTTAGAGGACAGGAACAACCAGCTCAAGAACATAATTGAGAAAGACAGGATACTTTAGCTTAGATTGTGAAGAGATAATACAGCTTTTATTAGCTAAACACCACTAACAGTGTAGTGAAGTTGGAGATAGATGCTGCTCTGAGTTCAGCAATCAGAAGGTAGATTATGCCTGTGTAACACCAAGTATGCTGATCACAGAATATGTGCTCTGCTCTGCTGGTGATAACTACCAGCCAGGTAGATAGGCAGGACGCAAAGAAACTTTCTTTGCCAGCCCAGATCTGGGAAAAGGATAAAAGACTCAGGATTTGGTGCTTGACATCAAACATGCTGGATCATTTTTGATTGAAAGCAAAAACTGAGAACTCCCAGGCAAAGGAGACTCCTGCTGTCTTCTACTCCTTTTTTCCAAGAGCTGGTGAGGCAGTCAGGAACGCCCCAGACGGAAGACAACTCCAAACCTAAGGTGGCATTTAAAGCCCTTCAGGAAATTACATAAATCCAGGGCAGCTCCTCAGCTTGTTTAATTGACCATCACTGGTAATTCCCTCCTGCCTTACCTGCCTCTTTAGAGAAGGGAGCACTTGCATGCAGAGCAGGTTGTACTAGAGGCAACAACCAGAAGTCAGCACACTTCTGCTGCTCATGCCACTAGTTACTGACCAGCTAAGATGTCATCAAGGAAAACAGGGCCTTGGCTTCTGCAGCTCAGGAAGGACACATCAGGAAAAATGCTGCTGGGGAGACTCCTTTCACACCCTGCAAGCAGCAAAGGCACCAGGTACACGAGGCTCTTCCCCAGCCCTCAGGAATGCAACCACACTTGGCATCCTACAATTAAGTGTGGGACTTGCTGACAGAGGATGCTGAGGGCTGTAAAGCGGCTGTTTTATTCTGCCCTGAGTTTGTCCACAAAGGACAATTGCATAAAGTATGAATTTTGGTGAAAATTTTCTGATTCACAAACAGCCAAAAGAGTATACTAGAAAAGTATCATTACACATTTATGCTGGGAAGATGAGGGATCTGCCATTAGCTGCTATAGGAGATGCACAGCTGGTTCAGCCTGGCTGCTTCTCAGCATGAATAGGGGCTGCTTTGTCATCTGCAGAAACCACCTTCAAAGTACACAGAGTCTTTGACCAAAAGGACCACAGCATTTGCTGTGTTTTCACCACCAACAGTCCTGTGAACTGGACTTAGTACTCCAACAGCTTACTGAATACATGAGACAGTGATTTCTTTTCCAGCTGAGCCAGTAAGTTCTCTGCAGTACCTGAAACCTCCTTATCCAGAGGGCTACAACTGCAGGGGACATGCATGAAGTTCAAGCACCTTTTCCTCATTCCAGGAAATTCACCTCCAAGATCTTAAAAACCGCACACCGCTACCTTACCCCCACAATATCTTCTAGGCTACATGTTAGCAACGGGAGCTGTGGGAAAAGCTTTTCCTCAGTATTCTGAATTTGCGAGATGCACTTAAAGGGCAAAAATGGTCTGCAAATATTAACAAGTAGGAATGAGTATGGGGAGGATTTCTAGGCACTACAACTCACTGTAGAAGCCTCTCCATGGCTGGTGCTGTACTGGTTTTGCCCAGGAGGGATGTATGAGACCCATGGACAGTTTGACCTTTCTGCAAATGTTGTTAAAACAACAAACAGAGCCGAGGCAGATGGTGAAGCCAATTTCCAAGAAGACATTTAACCCGTTTTCTGCCTCACAGAGATGAAACTTGCCATGTGCACAGGTGTGTGACACTTGGTTACCTCTCAGCTCATAATCTACCCTGCTAAAAACAGGTATAAAAGTAAAAATTCACTCCTTCCTGTGAGCTAAGGAGGTGTTGGCTGTGCTATGCAAAACACTTTTCCTGAAATGCCAGTGTAACCTATGCACTAGAAAAGGATGAAATCTGTGCTCTTAGTAGAGAAACCTCTTGGCTGTCAGACCACTGAGGGGGACAGAGGTAAAATCTTGAATCCAGGTACTCCCCCTCCCAAAAGAAGAAAGGATCAGTCTGAATGTACAAGATATCAGAAACACCCTCTCCCTTTCTCATTCAGGGGGACAATCACTACAAAATATTAAAAGCTTCAGATTTCTACAAGACAGAAAACCAGAGAAAGTTTTGAGCAGCCACAAGCCTTGAACTGCTCCTCCACAAAGTGGGATAAGTGTGCAACTGTTCCCTGCCTCCCAGGCACAGTTTAGTGCAAGAGTCAAACTTGGAAGCAGATGCTGTTTGAAAGGTGCTTTTGTTCAACACGTACAGTTGTTCTGAGAAAGGTAAAATTACTGTAGGGGAGTTGTGCAGTGGGATATTCCACTCTTTGACAAAAGCTGTCACTGAGTCAGAAGCCCACAACAGGAACAATGATATAGGATTACAGAAAGGGGCAAAGGGGAATAGGGATGTTTATGAGAGATAGAGGAAAATTTCCTGCCAAATGTTTTTACAGAAAAATTTCTAATGGTCTTCAAAACCATGCAGCAGGAAATCCTTAAGTTTTTAATCTGACCAGCTCAAGGCATCCACTTCATAAGAAAACATCACAATCTCAAATATTCCAGTATTCAGCTATTACTCTAAATCAGCAGTTTCCAAAATCAGTGAGTCACTAGAATTAGTTAAGCATCTTGCAGAACCACATCAGAACTGAGAGCAAGTTTCTTAAGTTCAACATTTCCAAAGACCTCAAGTGATCCAAAGTGATGCATTAACCGTCCGTTAATTAAGCATTCCCAGCTCTTGAAAAACCAATCAATAAATTTTCCTTCCTCTTTCACAGGAATAACAACTGGTTTTTGCAGTGGTATACAATGCCACTGCACTCAGTGAGCTCTACTCTGCTGCTTTAAAGCAAAAGCAGGAAGTCAGAACAGAAAATTCCTAGGAAGAAACTCTGCTGAGACACAGCAACTCGCAAACTCCTTCAGACTTTCTTCTCCAATAACTCCTTGTCCAAACGACAGAGACTTTCTTCCCTCCCCTCCACCCCATTTTCTCTCTCTGCAGGTGTCCCCAAATACCTTGAGTGGCAGGACAGTATTGCTCCCCTTCCCTGGAACCAGCAGTGTATTCCACAGCAAAAAGCTAGTGGAGAACAAACTCTGCCACTGTAAATAGAGTATCAGAGCCGGTCCAAGCTGGGAGGTGTGGTTTGCAATGCTCCCTACGCATCTCATCCCCTTTCCAACACAAGCTGGTAGCCATCAGTTCAGAAAGCAGCACAGGAAAACCTGCCCTTAAGCTTCCAAGGTAAATTCGTTGTAATCCTGCCTTGCACACAGCTGTGAAAGAGAAGGGCTTGTTTCTGATCTGCCTTAGGTGAGACGGGAAGAAGTGATAAGAAAGCAGATTAGCGCTGGTCTCATGCTGAACTTACCTTCCCTGAGAAACTCTAGCTGTGCTTGTAGGTAGCTCTCTGCCTACCTCCCATCCAGTTTCAACAAGGGAAGAGCTGCAAACTACCCCTGTGAATCCTGCCTCAAGTTTAATTCCACTTCTACAAGGCTGGAAACCTCTTTCACAAAGAGAAGGACAGAGTGTGTAAGAAAAAAGAAAAGCAAAGCATAAGATGACAGGGCAAGGAGCATGTTTCCAAAGCACTGTAAAACACACCCCAGGGGTGGAGTACACATCCCAAGACTATCTCACTAAAGCAGCCAGAGATGCCACCCTCTATCCTGCCACTGACCAAAGCGTCACTCTATCCCACAGCAACCCAGAAAGGAAGCAGAGCCACCACTGCCTGCTGACAGCTGGAGATGCTGATGGGGATGTCACTCAGAAGCAGCTCCAAAACCCCCTGGCAGCATGAAGATGTCCTCAGCTGCGTCAGCTCCTACTAGTTAAGCCTGATGTCTTCTCAGGAAAGGTGACAAAAGAAAGGGAAAAAAGAGCATGTTGAGACCCTGGCAGGCTGGCTCTTCATCACCTGCCATGATTTTGTCCTCTTTTTTCACCCTTACCCGAAATGTCTCTTTTGTCAGCCCTCAAGGATAATATTCGCTCAGAAAACAAGTTTTGCCATAATCATGAGCGAGCAACCCTAGCCTCTACAGAGAGTAAAAAACCCCTCTTCAATCAATTTCCACTGAGAAGACTCCAGCTGATAGGTGAACAGCAGAGACTTCATCAGCCTGCAAAGACAGGAGCTCCAAATACCCCCATCCTACCTGCAACAAGCAGTAACAGGACCTGCAGAAAGCAAAGGTAAAGACCAGTGCTTCCCTATTAGTTTAAGATGGTTATTTCAAAACCCAGATTAAAAAATGGGCATGAAGACAACTACAAGCCATCACAGTTGTCTTTAATACAGGTTTAACAGGGCCAGAGAGCTCCCCTGAGCCATCTGAGAGGGCTCTGTGATGCCAGAGGGCAGCTCTGCTCCACTCTGACCTCCTCAGAGGCTCAGCTTTGCCTAAGACCCAGGACCCCACATGCTTTAGGGAAGGCTCTAGCCTTAGCAGTGTAGCTGTGGGAAAAAACCCCAAACCAAACAAATCCATACCAAGTGTGGTATCTGCCTCTGAGCAGGAGAGTTTACTCACCATTTTGTTCACAGTGGGTGCAGAAGTCATGCTTAACACTGACCCATGGGCTTGGCTGGGATTCTGCTAGAACAGTACAAAAAAGCAAGCAAACTGCTTTCCTGCACCTTGCAGCCTGTCCTGTATCTAATCTTCTCTTGGGGTTCTTTATAAAGGTTCTCTTAGTACTGACTAGGACAAAAAAGCTTATAAGACACAAAAAAATAAATATACACATTGGAGCCACAATAAAGAATCCTTAGCGTCTCATGGATAAAGGTCAGGAAACACAAAAAGTTATGGTTCCCATAGTAATGCTAATCCAACCATACTGCACATCATTGTGTATTTAGTGGTACACATTGAAAAGAAAAACCCTTCATCTACCAATGCTTAAAAGGTTTCTGATTTAGTAAAGGCACTTGAACACCACCCCCCACACGCAACATTTATTGTTCTGAGCAGTGGATTTTCAGATCGAATTGGATTAAGCCAATCTAAGCATCACTGTAGCTCCCCATATCTAGGGCAATAGCAAGAGCTCTCAAGCATGATTACAGACTGAACATTATTTGTCCAACCTGAATAGAGGAAAGGGATCCAGGCGTCAGAACGGGTTGAGTCACCAAATCACAGTCGGCGCAGATTCTGCACTTGGATGCAGCAGGGAGGTGGTAAGGAGAGAGGGGAGAGAATGACCGACCAAGCCCCAGACACCCATAACCAGTAAATGTTAATCCATTTCTATAAACACTCATTTACTTGATACTGACAGCCTGAAATATCCTCCTGCCTAGTATCCCACCTCGAAAGTCTGGAAACAGACTGTGAGTGAACTACAGCCATGCTGACCTTCCTCTGGCACAAATCTGTGTATTCTCTGTCTCCAGGCTATTGAAGTCTTACCTTCATGCTTTACATAAAGCCTGCACCACTCTTCCAAGAGGGAACAGCTACAAGTGGTCCATTTGCATTGAGCAGCTCTGACTGAGCAACAAGATTTGCATCGGAAGCGAAGGACTCTTTGTGCCACAGCAAACACATTAAATCAAAAGGGTTTGAGCACCTGTACTGGAGCAGAGGATTACTTCTCTGGTTACATGTCTGGGAGAAAGGAAGGCAGAGCAAACATCCTGTACTCCTTTAAGAGGCAAAGAGGGTGAGGAAGAAGGAAGGTAGCTCTCAAGCACAGGAGCAAAGCATGCAATGGAAGAAATGTCTATTTGTAGGGGCATCCACATGTGTCCTTTTCCACCTCCAATAAATCTGAATTATCTTCCTAGTTCCCACGATCTCAGACAGAAGGGCACAGTTCAGGACAACAGGCATCTTTGAACTTCAAAAACCAGAGAGGTGAAGAGGTTCTCAGCCCTGCTCACGGAGCAACGTCAACACCAGAGTCCACAGCAGGGCACAGGAACACACAGCAGAAGTCCTTCTGCCCACAGGGTTACTGGATGCCGGTTCCTTTATTCACACCCATCAGCCCCTTGCTCTCACTATCCCTTGGGGTGTACTCACCTTCCTTTTTGTGCTCCAGCATCAAGTCTCCATGTTTTAAGGAGGCTTTGCAACCCTCCCCACAGCTGCAAAGCCTGGCTACTCCTTTGAGCCGCACAAATTCCAATTGGCATCTAGCCACACCTGCCAAGGGTAACAAGGATTTGGTCATGCTTTATCTTATCTAAGTAATGATGACGCTTTTCTTGCCTCTTGGGCAAAGCTCAGTAGCTCTGCACCTGCCAAAGAGGGGAGCTGGGCAGAGGCCAGGAGCTTCAGCCTGCAGCAATGCACCCCAGAGCAGGATGGCTCTGCTGGCCTGCCTGTCCCACCCACAAAAACCAGGCACTTAATCCACAAACAAGAACTGTGGAGAAAATAAGGCTAAACAAAATTTACACTTCTCATCTCACCACCACCTCAGGTGCTAGCACAGGCGTACAGCTCACCTTCCCTAAAAACAGTACAGCCACACTAGTCCTTGCCAATAGACAAAGCAATATTTTACAGGGAGTCAGACCACTTGTCCAGAGAGAAGACTTCAATATCTGTCCTGCTGTCAACCTACAGGTCACCTACAGCTTCAGTTCACAGCTGGAGATGAGCTTGGTTTCCTCCTTGTCATTTTATAGAGGGAGAAGAAAGGAAACTGAGGTAGATAAAAGCATTACTCTTACTCGCTCTTTGAATTCAATGGAGAGGGATTCAGCTACTCTAACAGTGAGGGCTACCAAGTTCCAGTATTATTCCATGTCCGCCTCCCTGCACTTGCACCTCTCCCCAGCTCCCAGCATGCTCAACCAAGGCTTTACAGCTAACCTGCAATCTCCTTCTAACCCTACTTTTCCAGAGGCTGGACTCACCAAGCTATACCCAAACATAGCTGGATTTTTCCCAGGTTTGTTTTCCATAGTCTAAATTACCTATTTATGCATTCCACAATGTTATTTTAAACAACACACAGCTACCAGTTCTATTCCTCCAGAGGTCTGCAGATATCTTGCTTGTTATTCATTGGAAGAACTTGAGATAGGAAGCAATAAACAGCTGGATGTTGTTACCTTGATTGCACAGCTACAACAACTAGACATTTTTCAAGCCTTCGCTGCATTGCTTTAGCCTACATCCAGCACATGTGCTAAAGGCTAATTCTTTCAAAAAAGCTGTAGGATAGGTCTTAAGAGCCTTGTTCATAGTCCCATCTCCTCTTCGGAAACGAAGGTTGCCTCAGCCCATGACACATCACCTGCTGTGAGCAGTGACAACTCTACATCTGCCAGGATCTTACCAAGAGCACAAGTTCAAGCCAGCCTCAAGCCCACACTGTGCTGGACCACTAAAGCAGATCTCCAGAGGTTCACAGCTCCCAAACACATTTTTAGAGGTCTCCTACTACCCTCCGAACAACACAAGCCTTTCCTGCAGGACTTTCAGGTATGTGTAATCCTCAAACTTCCTTCTGAACCAGGCACACCCTTCCACATAGACAGGGTCAGTAACTAGGGCAGAAGAGTGATACGAAGTCTCCTACCAGCACAGAGATTAAAACTACAGAAGCAGAGGCAACAACTCCTCCTTCAGATGACATCTCTGCTAAATTAACTGCACTCACACACTTCACTAAATAGAAAGCAGGGATGTTACAAGCCTCCTTGCTCTCAGTCTTATTATGTGACAGATTTTCTTCCAGTTATGCCAAGCAGACGAGAACACTGTACCCTTCCAAAGCATTGTACCATACCCCATTTCCTCCCAAACAAACCTATGATTAAAGCCACAGTCTCTAAGAGCACAAGACAGTATTTGTTCCTGCTTTAGTGCTCTGTAGCACATGGTTAAGAGAAAAACACTTGGTTAAAAACTCCACAGGGCTTCCCAATCATGTTACCCCAACCTGAATGAAGCACACCATGGCTCCAGACTTCATTTGAAAGTCCACAGCCTACACAGAACCCAAAACAGGTATTTTTGGCATTGTTTTCTCTCAAAGCTCACAGTATTTGTTATTGTGCTTGAGGTACCCAGGTCCTGCAGTCCAGTGAAATACTGATATTCAAGCATTTCTTGGAAGCTTATACAGACATGCAGAA